ACAAAAGAATCGGTCACGAGGGAAGGGTCGGGCGCAGCAACAACTCTTAAGACAGCGGGCATAATTATCACGCAATTATCATGCCCGCATCCGACGTTGAAAAGGCAATTGTGGCAATTAGTGAGTCAAACGCGAAGTGTCAAGCCAGTACTGCATTAATTAAGACCCCAAGCGGTGGCTACAGGAGCGGATAATTATAGTTCGCATGCGGATGACCACTATGAACTATAAATACCGTGCAACTTGCGCATGTTTCAACCCTATCTCCGCATGACTATGATTATGATACCACCATCTATGATTAAGGATTCCCGACGGAATTCGAAACGTCAGGAAAACAAAACTCTTGTTCTAGCGATCGGATCCTCTTCTTCTAAGCCAAAATTCTTCTAACAGAGCAGCCTTCACCTTTTCAGTATGGCGGCGGACGGTTTCGTAGTGAAAGTGGATTTAATTCCTGCACTAACGCTGAGCCTGCCCTCTCCCCTCTCTAAAGCAGCAGCCAAACAGCGAAATATTTGGGCAATCCAGTTTAGTGTTTGCCGTCTGATTATTTTCCAGTATTTTTTTTAATGAATGACGTCTTCGATTCGATACACTCAAAGGGTTTGGCAGTTATTCCGTCATTGGGTAACCGAAAAGGAGCTCCGATAATAACATTTATAGAAGTATATCGAAAACGAGCGTCAAGAGCTCGTAATTTATATTGTTCTTTCTGGGTTTCCGGATATACGAAGGATTAAACAAAGTTCTAAAGCGGTACCTCTGCCCCGTCTAGCGCCAACCGGATTCCACCTCAAACAAGGCACGTTTCGTCGGTGCTCCTCCAGCGGAATCTGTCGGCCCCCTCCTGCCGCCCGATACGCCAAATACAGTGTACGGGGATTCGTACGCTACCGGCGAACGATTCACCCTCTTCTCCTCACCAGCCGCTTTCTGGGCGGCCACAATCTGTCTGGCGGTTGCAACCACCGTCCTATTTGGCCTCATCTGCACCTTTGTGATTGTCGCCTTCCGCAAGCGAAAAACTCCCGCCCCGGTGGATGGAGACAGCGAGGAGGGACACAACGTTGACATGTACTCCAGGGTAGTGCCGTCAAATTGTCTTTCACTGCACTCCACGTTGCCAGTCAGCTGCGAGTCCAAAGCACTTCGTATGGCCTACCAGGGTGAGTATCTTGATGCACACAAGATTGTTAAGACCCTCTCCTGGTACTTCTAATTAACATGAACGCCGAACCAAAGAGCCGTACGAGAGAGACAGAGAAAAGACCAGTCGGCCATAGAGAGAGAAAGAGAGTGCGTTTACTCAAACAAACACTTTAAGCAAGTCAGCACAAGTCAGTGAGTGTAAAAAGTACGATATATTTAGGGCAACAAACGAGTGTAAGCTAGGCCCATCGAGCCAATCAGCTTCTGTCCTGGCTTGGCTACTGGCACGATTGGCTGTGACTCAGCGGTCGCATGCGGTTTAAATTTGGGATTATTTATTGCTTGATTATCCTGCATGCGTTCGCCTCATGTAGGCCGATCGATAGTCCGCTGTGAGTGTGGCTGCTTGCTGCATGCACCCAACAAAAATACTTCCACTTTCACGGAATTATTCAAATCTGCTAACCCCGCGCTCCCCTAATAAATAAGTTTGCCTAGTAGTCATTCTGGTGGATTCTAGATGATTGCTTAGGAAATCCT